ATCTCAATGCCTGCAGCCGCCCTGTCGGCTGAGACGGAGCTCTTTTAAGTAGAATAATAAAAAATATGCCAACATGTAAACTAACTTGTTTAGCAATGCCTCCATAGTACAAAAGCCTAATGACTTTAACTGACTGCAGTTTCATTCTACTCAATTTGCGTCATGAGGGTTTAGACAGACCTTAAGCTTCACTTCTTCATGCCTGACAGACGAGGGTTCCGTCTGTCTGTTTGGCTCATCTATCCAGTCTCTTTCAGCCCTCTCCTCTCTCCTCTCTCCCTCTCCGGTCTCGCTCCCTCATGATACTCATTCATCAATCAACCTCTCAACAAGTCAATATATTTCATATTATATATTTCATTCTTTGCCATCATGGGCCTGATTAAAATCTGCAACTCTCACTGACCCTTTCTTCTGTTGACTTATTCATCGCTCAGCCAGCTAGCTTTGTCTTTTTTTAAATCTTCTTCTTCCTTTACTTCTTCCCCATCTTCTTCTTCTTCTTCTTCTTTTTCGTCTTTTGTTCCTCCTGAACTGACAGTCCTGATGCGCTCCTTTGAACGAGTGGGGCTCGAAACAGGCCTACAAGACGAAATGAATGAGGCCGCTTTGGCTGCTGATGAGTTGACATGTCTTTCAGTCTGGTGAGCTGTAGACGCTTCTCGTATGTATTCGCCTCACTGGGGTGAGCAAATGTGATTGTTTGCCTATGCCAGTCTGCCTCACCTACGTTGACCAAAGCAGGAGAAACGGTTGTGCATAAATGTGTCTGTCTGTTGCACCGACGGTGTGTTTACACCCAGAGCACACCAGAGTACAGTTGAGTCTGTTCAGAGAGCCCAGGCTTTGGCCTGTGACTGGCCAGCCAGAACAGATGCTGCGAGATCGTCTCCTCTTGCCTGCTCATACCTGTCAGGAGGTATCAGATGAAGAGCGCCCAGAGGTAGTCCGTCAGCTCCAACTTGTATATCACGCTCAGGGATCTTTTCAATAGCAAACAAGACGAATTGCATCCTTGCCTAAAAGCCACTTTTGGGCAAGAAGAGATTCCTAGCCTGATGTTAGGAGGTTAGGCGGAAAAAAAGGTATCAGTACTTTTCGAAGTTATCAGTAATTATTAATTAAGACCCTAGGGGACTAGGTTCTTGTCTCACTGTATATGCACCAAAATTGGAATTAATGGCAGCTATTCGTCATCTTCTTATGACGGTACAATAGCTGATAGCAACTCTACTCGAAACGAATTTAAAAGAAGGCTCCAGTACGCATTTTGAAGCTCACTTTAGCTTGCATCAAAAAGAGTTATTCTGGGAGTGACTTTTCTTTCGTATTAAAGTGCATGAATAAGAGATTCGTGGGTCGATCTCACCAGAACAGGACGGAAGAATCCCGTTTTACTGCAGTCGTTTGGCTTTTATACGACTTTCAAGTTGACGCAGTCCACGAGACCTCCTCTCTCATTTTCACCCGAAATGAGATTGACCCACGAATCTCTTCTTCATGCACTTTCATGCAACAATGTTATCTCAGGAAATTCATAAAAACTCAGTTACTCTTCGTATCTGCAAGAGACTCAACAATAAGGGGTAGTCCTGAGTCGCTTTAAATGCTGGAATGAATAACAGTTTAGCATCGTCTCCCAGAGGGACTTCTTGATAATGCTG